CAAAAAAAAAAAAAAAAAAAAAAAAGACAATAATTCCCGCCGCCGTGCCGGAGTCACTCCGATCGAGGATTCTGAGCCGTCGGCGAAGACCCATCAAACAGCCCCATGTAATTAACATTGCTATCATTACTCCTCAACCCCCCACCCTGTTGAAAAAACGTTTCACTCGCCGCTGAATTCCCCAACGAGAACATAAACGGCGGTTGCTGCAGCGGCGGCGGGGGCGGTGGAGCTTGGTTTTGGAATTGGAATACCGGCGGAGCGTCGAGGTGGTAGGCGGCGACGGTGGGGTCGAAAACGGCGTTGGAGTTACTAGGGAAGCCAAATGTGGAAAAATTGGAAGCGTTGTTGGATGGACCACCGGTGAACTGCTGGACCATGGCTCGGAAATTGGCCGCGTCCGTGTTGAATAAAGTGGTTGGAGTCCGTCGAGAGGCTCTGGTCCGCTTGCGAACCGGCTTCGAGACTCTGCCCCCATCTGGGATTAAACCGGAGGAGGTCGGTAGCGTTGTGGCAGAGGAGATGGCGGCGGTGACGACGGTGGAATCAGAAACAACCCCGGAATTGTCGTCGTTATTGACCTGACGGTGGTCGGAAAGGTTGAAGGAGAGTTGTTGATTGTTGTTTTGGTGATACATGTGAATCCATTGATCAGCCATTTGGAAGCAAGAAAGTGGCTGAATTAGAAGGGTGGTTTTGGTATATATAGATTCTTTGGGGGTATGTGGGTGTAATTTTCAAAGTTTAGAGGGGGCGGTTAGCAATTATTTCTTAAACGAAATAAATTAACAATTTCTAAGATTAAATTATTTAAAAGACAAAACACTAAAATGATAATATAAACTCTTTTTTTTCAATTTTATGGATGTCACGTGAGGGCGACACGTGGAGGGGAGATTTAAAAAGTAGGTTTGCTGTTGCCACTGTGGACTGCATGCTTCCTCGAGGCTTATATCAAGGGAATGTTTGGTTTAGTGTTTCATACCTCTTAAATAGTTTTCTGTGTTAACTGAGTCTCCACAATGGTATAATATTGTCCACTTTAAGTATAACTCTCCACAATGTTATGATATTGTACACTTTGAGTATAAGCTCTCGTGGCTTTGCTTTGAGCTTCCCAAAAGATCTCATATCAATGGAGATAGTATTTTTTTATTATAAACCAATGATCATTTCCTAAATTACCCGATGTGGGACTTTCATCCAACACCTCCCTTGATCAAAGTATGTCTCCCCTTAATCGAGGCTCGACTTCTTTTTCTTTTGGAGTCTTAGTCATTTTTTACTATGCCTTCGAGGTTCACAGTACCGTTTGAGGATTCTATTGATATGACTAAGTTTTCGATGTGGGACTTTCATTCAACACACTGATATTATTAAAATAATTTAATTTACATCCATAATATACCTTCTTATTGATTTTATTTAATTTTAATAATTACCACCAAAGATATATAAAAATTTAATTATAATTAATTAGTAAATTTTAAAAATTAAATATAATTTATATGAAATGAGTCACCAATTAAAATAGTTAATTACTTTTTGTTATAATAATAATAAAAAAAAGTAAAATAGTAAATAGTAATAATAGATAAAGAGATAAAAAAGCATGATTAAAATTATGTAATATTGAAAAGATGAAGTCAAATTTACCTCTAAGCACATATTTCAAACTTTTATATTTAATTATATGATTAAAATCAAAGATCTCCAAAAGATTGTTCACAAATGTTGAAAATTCAGCCAAATATAACCCAATTAAATTCATCTTATGAATTTAAACAATATATATATTTTTACTTTTACTTTTCAATTACTTTACAAAAATGGAAAAAATGGAAAAAAATGAGTTATTTTTATTTAGACGTCGTACACAATTTTCACCCGTATATTAACGATAATATTTAATTTTTTTTATTTTTTATTTTATAAAAGTAAAAGCAGTTAATGTTACTTTTAAAATTATAGATAATAAACATAATGCTGGGCGAGTGACGATAAGCTTATTAAGTCTTGCTGTAAATATATTTTTTATTTTTTATTTTAAGTTGAAGGGTATTAGTGAAATTTTAATTTAAGAGTATTTTTGAAAATTTACTAAAAGTAAACAGTTACATCCAAAACTAAGGATAAAATTATTGTCGAATATTTTTAAGACAAACGCACCAAAATTACGAATATTTTTATTAATTTAGCCCATTTTATATTAGGGACGGGATAAAGATTTCTAAATTTTTATTAATAGGAGAGAGAAAATATGACTTTTTTTTTCCTTCTAAAAAACATTAATGTTTTAAGAACTTAGATGTGGATAGCATGAATTTCTTCAAACCAACCAAGCAAGAATTTCCCAATTTTAATATTTTGAAAGAAAAAGAAAATAAAAAATACTCAATTTAATAATTATATTAATTTAAATTAATTTTGACAACCCCACTTATTTATTACTATTTTCATTCTATTTAATTTAAATTATATTAAAAATACCTTAAAAAAATAATTAATATTAATGAAAAATATTGACGTTTTTTTACGTTTTGTATCTTTAGTACAACGAGTTAGAGATTCATACTCTTAAAGCATTAACAAACAAGTAGCATTATGCTACTTCCAAATCTAAACTTTATGATAAAAAATTGTTTAACGACATCGTTGCAACGTTTTAAATATCGTTTCCATTCTTCCACCTCGTATATCGAACCGACCCGATTATACCCTTAATTTCATTGAGCTTCCACATCTCGTTAAAATTCCCTTCCATTTAAGGAGTTACCTTTCGTTTTCAAGTCGTGTACGCCCGTAATTCCCTCCAATCAAACACTTCTTAAGTGTCCCGATAAACCCTTATATATATATATATATCGCATGCGCTTGTGGACGCTTTCTTCATCAACCATCTTTCACCGCTTGGAGAGAATTAAAAAAATAATAATAAAAAGACGAGAAAAAAAAAAGTCAAGTAAGAAGAAAATAAAAAAGGAAAAAGAAATAAATGTTAGTATTAAACATAAAGAAATTCGCACGTTATTTTGACGAATGCGCCTGGTGATGAATCGATCGATGTGGGACGCTGATTAATTTCTGATTGATTTAATTATTTATTTTTGGTTTCTTCTGATTTTTCCACATTATTGGGCTCATATTTTCGTCGGTTTTTAATTATTTATTTATTTTTGCCTGATCTTTGACCAAGTCCGCTCATCAAATCCGCTGCGGCTCTGCAAAACCATACCCCTTTTGTTTTCACACCCAATCTCTTCTTCCCAAATGGGATTTTGCTTTGCTTCTTAATCACACCCAATTAATATTCTTTATGTTGCTTTTTTAGGGACCTGATTTGAGGTATAGCGTAAATTAGCTTGACTTATGAAGGATGTTTACTTTAGTCGGGATCATTTTGTTCAAATCCAACACGTGTCGGGAGACTGCTCGTGAAGAAATTGAACGAGTCCACTGGTTTGTTGAGTATATGATGCCAACGGCTCATGTTTATAGCGTGCTATTTAGTATCACAATTGTGCAACACTTGTTCAACAGTGAGAAAATTGAACTTGGCAGACAATTTTGACGCATGATCAAGCCTTGGGTCACATTTGACAAAAAATATTTTACGAGAGAGTGAGTGAGTAATGTTATAGGCTAAAAGTGAATGAGCAACAACCATAGCTTTGATAACATATAACCCAGATAAGAATAATTGTCAGCTAGTCACATCCCCTATAATACATTCTAAGACATTTTAGCCATGGCGGGTGTAGACATGATTTTGGTGAACGATCATACATCTCCGTATTGATATAACAAGAATAATAAATATCTAACTAATATGAAAGGTAGTAAAAGAAGTTTGAAACGAGCATATGACCATGGATAACATGGATAAGAGCGATTATGAGGATATGACAAATAAGAAAAGCTCAAAAGAATTGAAAGTCATACATATATATACTAACAAGGTACCCTTTCATTTTTTATGGCTCAATCATACGAACTTTGTGGAGCAATTTTATGTTGAGTGACCTCCTAAGATACACGAATGAACCGAGACTATATGCGAATGAGAGCGATCTGTGACCATGTCGTTAGGGTATGTAAGAGAATATCAAGACCATAAGGTGCTGAATCCTGATCTGAATCGGGGTCACCAGTTGATCAGCTAAATTCTAAATTAAAAAGTAATTAAAAAAACTAGACAAAATTACCAAAACCATAACGTTTTCTTAAAGTATGATGTGGATATTTACTTTATTTAATTGCAGCTTTGTGAGAAGGAAAATGCTTTGCCTGCACATAAAATAAAAAGAACATAAGACCAAAATAAATAGAACAGAACAAGACATGAATTAAGATTTAGACCATACCCAGAAAAATTTCCAGCTGAGAACTGGTTTTATGTATGCAAAGGTTGTCCTGTTCTTGTTTTAGCTAACCCGACAGGCGTCTATCTCGAACATGAACTGACATGTTGTTTATGCGAGTCTGGGGCTAGGCATCGTCGAGCTATTCCTAGAGCATAAACAATTACATCTCTGCTAATGGAGAATCCGAAATGAAATCGTCGAAAAATACACGTAATCGAAGGCATACCATATCTTGCAGATTATTTTCAATGTCAAAACGACCTTGCGCACCCGGTTCCCTCGGGTTAAGCTGTCCTAGGGACTAAAGGATAAGGAATATATTAAGTTGACGAATCGAACCGTGTCGTATATCGATCTAGCATTGGTTACTGAATATAAGACTAGTACCTGTATTGTTTGTCTATCGTCACGTGGACCGACACGAGCTACAACCGAAGGAGATTGATCCTGAAGAATCAGAAAGTTGAACTAAGGTTCTTATTTCTTAAAGAACATTATGATCCTATGTATCATCAAGCATACCAAACTCTGCATAGCTTGAAGACTATAATAACCTTCAGGTCCATCACAGAAAGGCGAATTTGTGCAGCCATCGAGTGCAGCTGCTCTCGAATCGACTTCCTGCACGAATGTACGAACCCAGAGGAGAGAATTTGTAAGAACAATACCATTTACAATGAAAACACTTTGCACGAATTCTAGCACAACTGCATCGAACATACCGCCTCCGACGATTTGTACCGTGCCTGCTTGGTGATCTGATAGGCAGAAACAGGAGAGTATACAGATGTTTAGTACAGAATACACAGATAGAGACTATACAATGCTCTCTAGCCAGAAGCACGTACCGACTCACCTTGCCTTTTTTGATCGTTTTCTTTTTACGAGACGACTTGGCCATATCTTCGCCACGATCATCGTCTTCGACGTCAACAAAACCAACAGAAACCATATTTGTTTCTGCAAAGCTCTTGTTAGAATTGTTCACAAAAACACACTGTTTCAATACGTCCTCTAATGCGTCAAATGCAATATCATACGTTTCTCGAGATAAAGACCCGACTTCACTTAGTCTAATGGCTTGTTTGCAGAGGTGGTTGAACCGCGCCACTCGGTAATGAAGTCGATTTGACGATTCACTTAGCCTGACCTTTGCATTTCTCGTCCAACGTTTCAAAATATATTTCTGTGGGATGCTCGTTACACCAGAAACCTGAAGAACAAGGATAGCGTGTCTGCAAAGGATGCCTCTATGCTCGAAAGAACGGCATCGACAACGTATATCCAATTCTGCTTTATTCCAAGCTACCAGGAACTTCTGCTGCTCTTCCAGATCATCAACTTGGTATGTTACAATAGCTCCATCTTCGGTTTGTTCGTGCACTCGACATGAAGCTGCACCCACTACCTCCAACTGGAATTTCTTAAATATCGTCGTCACGTAGATGGTCGCCGTTTGTTGCTCGAAAGGAGAGAGACATTTCAAGGCAGGTTCTTGGTGCCGAGTTTCAAAATCAGCATCAGCTTCCAACTCGAGCATATCTTTGGAGAAAATCTCAGATCGTTCAACAAACTCCTTGAACGTAGCTTCTTTACTTATATAATTGTCAAAAAACGAAGCCACGCTCCCCGATCGTTCACTCGTACACATTCCAGCCAAAAAATAGTTCTTCACATACGCTGGCACCCATTTCTTATGATCATCAAACAGTAACTGAAGCCATTCATTCTCCTTTACTTCAAATTTCTCAACCATTTCCCACCATTTCTTTTCAAATTCTTCATCCCTCCAAGATCCATAAATGCATTTATCAAAGCTTTCCATAAAATTTCTGTTCTGATCTATAATCTTTCCTAGTTTTTCACGAACTCTTGTTAGTATGTGCCACAAAGAGAACAAATGGATTGCCTTGGGAAATACATCTGCAACAGCTTCTTTCAAGAACGATTCTCGATCGGTCAAGACCACGGTTGGAGCAGGACCACCCACCGCTTTGAGCCACGTCTTCATTAACCAAATAAGACTTGAAGTAGCTATATCACCAATCAGTGCACCTCCAAACAGGACATACTGAAAATGATGATTGACTCCAACAATAGGAACAAAAGGAATTTGATATCCACTGCTTATGTAATGAGTATCAAAGAAGATCACATCACTAAAGTTCTTGTAATCATGCCTTGCTTTTGCATCCACCCACAAGACACTTCTCAGCTGTTTTTCTTGGTTGAAATCTACAGCATAGAAGAAATTAGGATTCATTTCTTGCATATGCATAAAATGCTCGAGCATCAAATGGACGTCTCCCTCGTCTAGAGCCAACTGCAAACCATTCTTCTCAGAAGCAATGATATCCGGGTTTTTGTTCTTTCCCTTTAAAGCATAATGAAAATCATCAGGACAAATCTCATGGTTATGCTCTCTTATAAAACCATGAACAAACCATTTTCCATCTTCCCTTTTCTTGATGTGTATGCTAGCATCACAACCCGTCTTCATACACGGTCTAGGCTTGACGGTCGTAGTCGACTCTCGCTTGCTTCCAAATCGAGAGCAAGCAATCTTAATGTCTATGAACTTTCCAGATCTTTTAGAGCGTCTGCTTGCTTTTATTGTGATGCCAAATCCCACAAATCTAGCATATTCTCTATAAAATGAATATGCTTCTTCCTTCGACTCGAACTCCAAGCCGATTTTCGGTTCAAATGCTGGCCCCATGATGTGATTTATTCCCACGTTAACGATATCCATCTGATCCCGAACACTATTAGTTTCGGTATTTGGAATTGACATTCCCTGACTTAGCTCAGCCCTTGTAGGAGAATTTGCAGCCCTTCCCTCACCATGTGTCTGATCCAAATCCATGCCATCATTTTTACTCTCAAGGATGCCTAACCTTTCTTGATCACTGGAAGGCAGCTCAAGGTCTATATCCATGAGGAAAATGTAAAAGATTGAATAGGCCCCTGAGAGTACACAAGGATGAGGCTCTGTAGCTATCAAGTTCTTGAAGAAGCAGAAAGAATTTACATTATGATACACAGATCTCAGCTATTGATCTACTATTGTAGATCAAGGAACTTGAAGTTTTGATATCTGTTCATAGTTCATGCTTATACAGCTGAAGAATTTCTCAATTTTTAATTTCCATACTCCGAAATCCCTAAGTTCTGAGTTTCATCCACAATACGTTCTTATATAAACTTGAATTGCATCAAGTCTAGCAGCAAGAACAAGTAAAATCAAGAAGTAGATATACAGAAGCACATCGAAAGGCCAGAAGAAACGAAATGCCGTAATTTAATGAAGAATCAGTTTACAAATCGAAGCCTCAGATGAAAAGAAGAAACGCAAGAACCCTAATTAGTTGAAATTCCGGAATCAATTACCTCGGAAGGGGCGAGACAGGTGATGCGGCGCTGCAGAAATTAAAACGAACTAACAAAAGAAGAAGAAGAATCGACGGGAGATTCCATTGCCGCCGAGGCTTAATTCGAAGCTCCTTCGTCGCCGGATTTTCATCGCTTTTCGCCGGAAAGATGAACGGAGCAACCAATCCGGGCTATCGCCGAATAAGCTCCATTTGGGTCGGATCCAGACGAAAAATTAAACACGTCCGTCATTCTACGAACGGATAATTTTAATCAAAATGTATATATACACAAAAGTGTACTAAATTCGTAATTTATATAAAAATAATTACAATTAACCGACTAATCAAGCAACTTTACAGATTAATAGCTAAAATTTGACGTTTTCGAGACAACATAAAACAAACTGTTCTACAAATAGATAAGTAATCGGCCGAAAGCATCTTCTTCTTATAGAAGAACTTGCTCACCAACTGCTCTTTCTTTCTTTGCTTGCACAGGAACAACATTTTGAGTGCTTCGCCTAGAACAAGAAATGGGGTTCAACCATCTGCTTCGTACGATCATCAAACCCAAGGTTTCAGATCATCACTACCCTTTTCAAATTTGATCATCTTGTTTCCTCTTCTGTGTTTTTGGTTGATCCATTTTTTTTCTGGAACTTACTGCGAATCATGTTTATGGTGTTCTTGAATGGTGGGGTAGTTGAACTCTGTAGTTTAGAGATTTAATCTTTTGGCAGAGGGGGATTTGTTGGAAGTATGATCTTGATGAGGCGACTTGTCTTCTTTTATAGCATTTATCTCCCCCGCCATTAGAGAACACCATGCTAACTTCCTACCCTGCGGAATACATGGAAGTTGTATTCATTTCATTCCAAAGCTCAACTGTACAAATTAGTGAAGGATATAACTATATAGAGCTGTTTGGAGAGATAAAAGGGGAAGTAATCCTTCATGGATCTCAAGTTGGTTCGAGAGGGAACTAAGCATTTCTTATAAGAGTGTGGAAACCTCTGAATAGACCTGGTTTTAAAACCTTGAGGGGAATCTCAAAAAGAAAAGCTCAAAGAGGACAATATATGCTAGCGGTGTGCTTGAGTTGTTACAAATGGTATCAGAGCTTGACACCGAGAGGTGTGCCAACGAGGACGTTGGGCCTCCAAGGGGGCTGGATGAGATAGGTGAATCAACCATCTATCCTCCTGAGGAGAAGTTTGGTTTCAAACCCCGGTTCAAATAGAAGAAGTACGTCATGCTAATGTGCCTTGGATGATCCACATCTCAAGGTCACGCGTTGATGAGCATATTGAACTATTCATGTGGCTAAGAGCCCTCACAGCTTAGGCACAACGACGCAATTATCAGGGGCGCGCTCTACCACTGAACTAATAGCCCGTCGTGCGGGCCTCCCGTTGGGGCCCGCTATGCTAAAAGCGAGAGATACCCCATTCCTCTCTTTCCTTTTTTTCTCCCCCATGTCGTCACACGGGAGGGACATGGAGATGTAAAAAAGGGCGGTGTGCCAACGAGGATGCTGAGCCCTCAAGGGAAGTGGATTGTGAGATCCCACATTGGTTGGAGAGAGGAACGTAGCATTTATTATAAGGGTGTGAAAACCTCTTCTTAGTAAACGCGTTTTAAAACCTTGAGGATAATCTCGAGAGAGAAAACCCAAAAAGGACAATATCTACTAGCGGTGGGCTTGGGCTGTTACATATGGTATCAGAGGCAGACACTAGGCGGTGTGTCATCGAGGACGTTGGGCCCTCAAGGGGGGTGGATTATGAGATCTCACATTGGTTGGAGAGGGGAACGGAGCATTCCTTATAAGGGTGTGGAAACCTCTTTCTAGTAGACACGTTTTAAAACCTTGAGGAGAATCCCAAAAAGAAAAGCCCAAAAAGGACAATATTACCTAGCGGTAGGCTTAGGTTGTTACAAATGGTATCAGAACCGGACACCGGGCGATGTGCCAGAAAGGAGGCTGGGCCCCTAAGGGGGGTAGATTGTGAGATCCCACATTGGTTGGAGAGGGGAACGAAACATTTCTTATAAGGGTGTGGAAACCTCTTCCTAATATGCATGTTTTAAAATCTTGAGCGGAACCCCGAAAGGGAAAGTCCAAAGAAGACGTTACAAAGCAATCCTTAATTAGTTTATGTTCTGAAGTTAGGGGATTTGGTGGTTTCTTTCCTTCTCGTGTCGGCAGAAGGAAAAGAGACTCCATGCTAGTACCTCAAATGTTTATCATCGTATGATATGCTTTGATTAAACCGTTTCCAGGTTGGTTCCTGTGCAAAAGATGCTTCTGCGCATAGAAACTCTTGTGAGCGGCTCATTCAGGTTCAATCACTTAGCCACCCATATGGAACAGAAGCATCATTGCAGAGGGACAATTCGAGTACTGGTTCAAGGAACGGTCAAGGGTAACTTCGAGTCTCCGTGATAATATTATATATGATCAAGAAAATATTCATCTACTCGAAACATTTTCGATTCGAAAACGCTCGTTATCTCACATATTTTACGTATGGAATCCCAGTTTCAAAGGCCATGACATGCTTGCACCTTTCACAGCTGGTTGGCAGGCTGCTGATTTGAATCCTTTGGTCATAGCAAAATCTAAGGTATTTCTTCACGTTCTTCTTTTTTCATCGTCGTTTTTTTCTAAAAACTGGCAATCCCACGAGGACCTTCCGTCCCCACGTGATAATATTTGTCGTGGTGATTTATCATGGCTACAGGGTTCCTATGTTTACGACGTTAACGGGAAGAAATATCTCGATTCGCTTGCTGGTTTATGGTGCACGTCCTTAGGTATTCTTACGGCTCCCGATCTTATATAATGGCTTTTCGGGTCTAGCTTTGTATATTAAGTCTTTCGAGTCGTGTATGAATACTGAATATCGGCAGGGGGAAGCGAGCCTCGGCTTGTTGCTGCAGCGATGGCACAGCTGAATACATTGCCGTTTTACCATTCCTTTTGGAATCGCACAACGAAACCGTCTTTGGTATTGTATTCCTTTCTTAGTATGAAGCTACTTAAAATTCTTATCATTACATGTTATGACATGAAAGCTCACTTAAAAAAGAAATCAAACACAGTTTGGAATAACGGCCCAAGCCCACAGCTAGTAGATACTGTTCGCTTTGGCCCGTTACGTAGCGCTATTAGCCTCACGATTTTAAAACGTGTCTACTAGAGAGAGGTTTCCACACCCTTATAAGGAATGTTTCATTCCCCTCTCCAACCGACGTGGGATCTCACAATCCATCAATCTTGGGTGCCTAACGTCCTCGCTGGCACACTGCCTGGTGTTTGGTTCTGATATCATTTGTAACAGTTCAAGCCCACCACTAGAAGTTATTGTTCTCTTTGGCCTGTTACGTATCGCCGTCAACCTCACAATTCTAAAAAACGCGTTTTAAAACTGTGAGGCTGATAGCGATACATAACGGGCCAAAGCGGACAATATCTGAAAAAATACAAAACTTGAGATGTCTGAAGTTTAATGATAACTGTTGCAACCTCGACGTAGCAATATTGTAAAAACTTCATGATTTTACCTTTACCAAACAATTCCCGACCACTTTCCCACCTTAATATCAAGGAAGCTCACCCCAAGTTGGTTCATGGCCCGAACCTCTCTTTCCTCGAATTAATGTCGAGTCTAAAGGAATATTGTTATGTTGTCTCAAAGTAACTCTAATCAACTAGAACTATTTTGATGGTAGTTTCCACTGCCTGACTAGCGTCGAGCCCCGTAATTTCGGGAGAACGGGTGACATGATTCATTTATCAAAGAGATGTCGAAAACGCAGGAGCGTAATCTTGTTCTATTTATCTTGTTGTCCACTGCAGGATCTAGCAAAAGAAATACTGGAAATTTTTACTGCAAGAAAAATGGCGAAGGTGTTCTTTTCAAACAGTGGATCAGAAGCAAATGATACTCAGGTGCTTTTTGTTTACTCTACATTGTTACCATGAAAATTTTATTACCTGTTATCGAGCTACCGAAGGAAAAGAGATCAGGTAAATACGAAACCGTAAAATATGGTCATTCAGTGTCCAGTTGAACTGAATGTAATTGTACTAGTGTGGGACGGGCCACTTGGTAACTAGGGTTTAAAACGCTCTCTTTGGGCTTCCCCTCAAGGGTTTAAAACGCGTCTGTTAGGGGAAGGTTTCCACACCCTTATAAATGGTGGTTTGTTCTCCTCCCCAACTAATGTGGGACATCACAATCCACCCCCCTTCGGGGCCCAGCGTCCTCGCTGGCACTCTTTCCTTCCTCCAATCAATGTGGGACCGCCCCCCTTTGGGGCCCAGCGTCCTTACTGGCACACCGCCTCGTGTCTACCCCCCTTCAGGGAAGAGTGATTTGTTCTCCTCCCCAACCAATGTGGGACATCACAATCCACCCCCCTTCGGGGCCCAGCGTCCTCGCTGGCACTCTTTCCTTCCTCCAATCAATGTGGGACCGCCCCCCTTTGGGGCCCAGCGTCCTTACTGGCACACCGCCTCGTGTCTACCCCCTACCAATGTGGGACATCACAATCCACCCCCCTTCGGGGCCCAGCGTCCTCGCTGGCATTCTTTCCTTCCTCCAATCAATGTGGGACCGCCCCCCTTTGGGGCCCAGCGTCCTTACTGGCACACCGCCTCGTGTCTACCCCCTACCAATGTGGGACATCACAATCCACCCCCCTTCGGGGCCCAGCGTCCTCGCTGGCACTCTTTCCTTCCTCCAATCAATGTGGGACCGCCCCCCTTTGGGGCCCAGCGTCCTTACTGGCACACCGCCTCGTGTCTACCCCCTACCAATGTGGGACATCACAATCCACCCCCCTTCGGGGCCCAGCGTCCTCGCTGGCACTCTTTCCTTCCTCCAATCAATGTGGGACCGCCCCCCTTTGGGGCCCAGCGTCCTTACTGGCACACCGCCTCGTCTTCCTCCAATCAATGTGGGACCGCCCCCCTTTGGGGCCCAGCGTCCTTACTGGCACACCGCCTCGTGTCTACCCCCTCAATGTGGGACCGCCCCCCTTTGGGGCCCAGCGTCCTTACTGGCACACCGCCTCGTGTCTACCCCCTTCAGGGAACAGTGAGAAGGCTGGCACATCGTCCGGTGTCTGGCTCTGATACCATTTGTAACGACCCAGATCCACCGGTAGCAAATATTGTCTTCTGTGGGCTTCCCCTTTCGGGCTTTCCTTCAAGGCTTTAAAACGCGTCTGCTAGGGGAAGGTTTCCACACCCTTATAAATTGTGGTTTGTTCTCCTCCCCAACCAATGTGGGACATCACACTCTTCATCTTCATAGCTAGGATGCTTCAAGCTTCTGGGCCTCAGGAACTAGAATGGAATCTCGTGACTCGAGTGTAGGATGAATCCGCTAGCACGTCCTTGCAAAATCTTACCCAATTCTTGCCACTCTCGCA